ATATTGTTTTGGTGCAACCACAGCCAATGAAAGGGAAGTCTGAAACACTGCAACTTCTTCCCGATGAGCTTTTAGCACAGAGGCTTAATAAGCTATGGGTTTGTTCTGGCCACTGGGGCACAGACTCCATGGGGATGGGAGGCAATTCCAGTGGCCTTCCCAATTTGGAACTGAGGGCAGATGCCCCTTTAGCCTACCCTTAGTTACGCTATTCTTTTAGCAATTTTGGGTGTGGTTTGTCGTGATGACTCAGGTTATAAGCACACCTGAGTACTGAGGTGGGGTGGAAGGAGGTAAAAGGAAAATTTTCCTGGGGAAGTGAATTATCCCATAATTGCCTGTTTTATCTTCCACGTCTGTGACAGCACCAGCTGCTTCAAAGATGCTGGAGTAGTTGGACCAGTGATCCAATCTATCCTGATGACTTCTAATGTTCCTACTCCAAGCTTTCCAAGGATGAATCTAGCTCGTTTCTTTCCCAATAATACTTTGTGATCCTCAATATAAATGTTAAGTAGAGAAATATGCAAGTTCAAGGGACTGTTCCCATCAGTCATTCATTTTTTCAAATTTTGAGAGAAGAGGGTTATGTGTACTCTGCTTACAATATTTTTGTGCCTAGAATAAGACCAAAAAAATCCCAGAAACAGAATTACTGAATGTGACAGGTTGACAGCAATACATTGACTTAAACTTCCAGCTGTTTGCCCATCTTATTAAGGGCATCGCTAACAAGATCCAGGTCATGGCGTAGCTCATTCACCACACTAGCGATGCTCTTGGTGTCCTTCAGGATCTGTATGCTTTGTGTATACGGGTTATACTTCACCCCAAATGGGCGCTTGATGGTTTTTGCAAATTCCCTGTTCAATTAAAAAAAAGCTTTTCAAGTAAATTCAGCCAAAAACAGTAAGCCAATCATCACTTCTTGGTGTATAAGGGAGTGGAGGAGGGGTTCTACAAAAAAGCCACCATTAGTGACCTACAGTTTAAACCAGTTTTCCTTCTTACTTTTTCATCAGTGTCATTCTCTCAATTTTTCAATGGGGAAAATCCAAAGCATGAGAATGATTGCACAAACCCACCCAATATATCAGTAGCAGAACCAGAAATAAAACCCATGTTTCCCCAAGTCCCAGTCCAATGGGCAACTGTCTTGCATGTGCTTTGGTAAAGCTGGGCAGATGGGTTCAGTTCTTGCTAAACAAATCTTCTGTAACTTCATGCAGCTGCTACCCATCACAAAAAGAGGTTATAGGCTAGTACAGAGTAAATCCACTGATGTTAATAGTATCACAGCCATGGAAAAACTAAAATAAATAATATGAGAATTGTCCCATTGACGACTGTCCTCTGGCACCAGGCCCTTGGCCCACCCCCCCACCTACTTCGGGCCTCCGTCTTGCTGTGCCCTTCTTGGATACAAGGACCTTGGCCCCTGTCTGCTCTGTAGCCTTGTACTGAGTTATTCTTGTTATTGACAGAGTTATTCCAGATTTATGCTCATGTAACCAACAGCAGAATTTGGCCTGATGGCTACAGCCAACATTACTTTCATCATGGCCAGAAAGTGTAAACTGTTATAGATCTTTTATATAGCTCTGGAAAAGGTATCCACCCCCTTTTATTTCATGGACTAATAAGCTGACCCAAATTGTTCGTGGCAAGAGAAGCCAAACTTAAAAAACATAAGTTTATTGGAAGAGGTCATTGCAAGCATGTTACAGTTGTGCACTGTATTATGCCCCTCCTCTATTCCTAGGCTCAGCTCTAGCTGTTGTTTCCAACCTCTTAACCCCTATATGGCTTGGACCTCAGATCACTTAAAAATCATTTATTTCTTTATGCCCCATGGTGAGAAATTCACCCCCTGGACAGAGATCCAAGAGAAGAGTCAATGCACCACTTTAAGTCCCACATAAGCCATCCAAATAGGGCTTAAGTGGCACTTGAAAGCAAAACCTGATCTTTTTTTTTATTGCCAATTCTTTACCTGTCAGATGGATTAGTGTCTGGTACAGGTTAACTTTTCTACTCTTTGTGGGCATCTATAGATTAATGTTTGCTATAGGGTTTGCTCAGGTGGTATAGCAACTGACATAATATAAAGAATAATAACAGAGAGAAAACAAAGCAAATACCGAATAGCAGCATTCTGCTAAGTGGAAAGTAATAATAAAGTTTTATTATAAAAAATGTGAAGGATCTTTTTCTTCCCTGGCAGATGCAGCAAATTAAACCTGGCCTTAAGTAATGACAGAGATAAAAACAAACTATACCTCATCTTTTCCTTTGCTTCTTCAAAACTTTCAGAAACAAAGTAGACTTCCTGGAAAGTGGTAATGAGGCATTCTTGCTTGCTGGTGGCCTTTGGATCAAAGGGCTTGACTTTAGCATTGCCAGAGAGTGCATGCTGGGAAATAGACAGTTACATTAATGAAACAAAAACATTAACATTATATCCCATTATGCTACACATTAGCATAGACACTGAAACAATCCTCAGGGAAGATCAAGCCGTAGAAACAATGAGTTGGGGAGGATAAAGTGATGCCATATATGTATTATATCTCTATACCTCATCGTTTCTTAAGAGTTATGTCTGCCGATTAGCACTAGCTAACCCTTAGGAAACTGGATAACCTTAAAGAGCCATGTTCTGGCATTTCTGTTCTCACTGGGCACGTCTATACATTCAATTAATGCAGAGCAATAAACTCCAGGGCTTATTGCACCAGACTCTATTGCTCCCAGGTGCGCCATTTAAGAATGTACCAGGACCACAGCATACCGAGCCACAGCCGCAGCTGGCAGGAGGGCCCAGAAGTCAGCCTGCCAGCCCAGCGTTACTCTTGCCTGGTTCAACATGCTGTGGAGGGGCTGGCTGGGACATGAGGATGCTTTGGTGCAGAGCTAGCCAGCCCCTGCACCGAAGTACCCTCATGCCCCAGCCAGCCCATCTGCATCTACATGTGTGCTGTTGCTCACAAAAATTTTGCAGCAGGGTAGTACTTGTAAATAAGTACTACCATGCTGCAGAGTTTATTAATTTCCTGCAGCCTAATAGGGCCATGTGTGTAGATGCTGAGACATTTACTGTGGAATTAGACAACTCCACAGTAAAAAAAGAAGTCTTGTGTATAGGTGCCTATGGTGTAGTATTTTGCTTATGTGAGCAAGTCAGTATATTTGAACTTCAGGCCCATGGGATTGCTTACATAGTAGGATGCTACTACATTAAATGAATGTTAGCAGAGCATGGTTCAAAAAGCCATGGGTTGGTATGTACTGACAACACAGCAACTCAAGGCCCAATTTTAAGAATTACAGAGCACTTACAACTTCATCTGAAATCATTGGGAACTGTAGAGGTTCAGGCTCAGCAAACATTGAAAGGCACAAATTCTAGTGATTACTTCCATATGCTCTTCCCTTAAAATCACAGGTCTCTAGGAGCTGCCAAAATACATACCTTCAAAAAGGTAAGCTTCACAGAAAAAAAATCAGGTGAAAAAGAAATAGAGCGAGTAAAAGGAGGGTTATTTCCCATTCTTACCTTGAGTTCACTGATGGAAGAGAGCAAGCCAGCTCCATAGACTCTTAGCCGTCCATCTTGCTTGCACAAACCAAACTCTACAGTGAAGAAGTAACACTGAAACAAGGGGGGGAAGAATTAGAGGAGAAGAAAAAAAAAAAAATAGCCTTCAATATAGGTGCAGCTAATAATGTGCTAGCTGTTGTAATTCAAGCAGATAAGGCCAAAGGGTTTTAGCCTGGGGGCCGTGACCCCTAAAAGGGTCAAGATCACCCTAATTTTTTTCACAAAGTATTAAATGGGAACCAGCCTGAAATGAAAAAGATAAAGAATCTATTTCAGTGCTGCTCTGACTAAATGATTTGACAGTTAAAGCTTCTGATCCAAGACTTGCAGAGGAGCTGATCTCAAAAGGGGCACTGAGATCCAGATCTGCACACAAATGTTCTGAGGCATCCTGC